CATCAGACTGGGCCACAGCAACGTGGGGCAGGGGATGGCTAGTATGTAATATAGATCGATAAGCAGATCGATGATAGATGGATAGAGATAGAAAGACAGATAAATAGATACACAATAGGCCTGTGCGATTTGGTTCGTTAATTCGTTAATTCGTTAATAATTCGTTAATTTTACCATTTCCGAAGCGATATTGAAACAAATCTCCAAACCCGGAAGGGTTTATAAATATCGAACCAGCAGCCCCCATAGTATTTACGAGCCTCCGCTCGTTTCGTTAATGGGGTGGAGGCTGCTGGAGTGCTGGTGCATGGGAGCCAATCCGGCGCTCCCAAGCAGTGCACCATGGGTCCGTGGCTGTCCCTTTTTGATTGGCCGGCGAGCCCTTTCAAAGCGGCTCCGCGCGGCCCGTAGCTTGGTGCAGAGGCGAGGGCGAGGGAGTTTGCATTGGGTTGGCTTGGCAATGGCTGCCTGCTAGCAACGAACTGGGATTGGATTCATTCCTTGCTGCTGTGAGTGCTGCTTGCTTCATTTGCTGTCTCTTGCCTGTGTTTGGTCCACATTTGGGCCATTTTTTGGTTAATTTTCCATTTTAAAATATTTTTAATATTATTTTTTAATATTATTTTTAATATTATTTTTTAATATTTTTTAATATTATTTTTTAATATTATTCTTAAAAAATATTCTAAAAAAGAAAAGACTCTTCTGTTGGTGTGTGCTCTCATTTGCTATATCCTGCCTGTGTTTGGTCCACATTTGGGCCATTTTTTGGTTAATTTTCCATTTTAAAATATTTTTTAATATTATTTTAATATTATTTTTTAATATTATTTTAATATTATTCTTAAAAAATATTCTAAAAAAGAAAAGACTCTTCTGTTGGTGTGTGCTCTCATTTGCTGTATCGTGCCTGTGTTTGGTCCACATTTGGGCCATTTTTTGGTTAATTTTCCATTTTAAAATATTTTTTAATATTATTTTAATATTATTCTTAAGAAATACCAAAAATATTCTAAAAATTCGTTAATATTTACAAAATTTCTTAAATACCAAAACTTTTTTTTGGAAAGTTTTGTAATTATTTTAAATATCGAAACAAAAAAACACCCCAATTACAAATCGATTTTAGAAACAAATTTTTTCTTGATCAAACAGGCCTAATACACAACATTCTGCTCCTGATTTTTTTAACCATCTATCTGTTTTCTTTCTTTCTTCTATTGATCGATCGATTTCTACATCTATATATATAAATCTGGAAAGGGAGTCTGTCGGCGACGAAAAACGGGAAAACCCCCGGAGGAAAACTCACCAAACTTGGTGTACACATTCCTCATACCCCAAGGTATGACCAACAATCATCACAATTCCAATACACATCACAACAAACTCACAATTTTAAAACAACACGGAGCATGCGCAGAGGCGTCCTGGGAGGCCCGGCGCGCGCACATGGCCGGACCACGCCCCCTCCGTGCAAGCCACGCCCCCTCCCTTCGCCCGCCCCTTCCCGCCCTGACCCAATCCTTCGCTCCTCCCCCTCCTCCTCCGCCGCCGCCAGCTTCACCAAAGGGAATGCTTCTGGCATTGCTTTTGGGCCTCTCTCCCAGTCACCACGGGCCTCCCCCACACAATTCCTCGCAGCCGGTAATAATTTATAGTAATAATGACACAATCTATTGAAATGCATTATAATCTTTAGAAGTGGCAGTGATGGGTCTCTTTTGGGGTTTTTCCGCACCAAACTGTGGCGAGTACCCGGCGCGGCCATCTTTCACAATGGCGAAACAACAACAATGGCGCCTTCTGCTTCGAATGTGGCCAGGATGAGGGAAAGTGCCACAGGAATAGAAACATACATAGAGACAAATAATAACATTCTAAGGTTACAGTACAAATCTCTTTGATATAATAATACTGTGAATACAAATACAACATTGACCTTGAGTTTAGGAGTTGTAGCTCACCTACATCCAGACACCGCTACAGACTCAAACCAATCGCGGAAAACTTCCCACACAGAACCCCCATGACCAACAGAACATACTTAAAGCCATCCAATCCACCTCCCTTCATCAGGGCAAGAACATGAAATCAAACTCCTCCTCACTAAGAGCCATCCAACCATAGATAGATATACATAGATAGATAGTAGGCCTGGGTAACAACGGAAAAATTTGTTTCTAAACTCGTTTCGTTTTTAGGGGGTCCATTGCGTTTCGTTTTTTAAAAGAATTCCGAATTTTTCTTTTAAAAAATTTCGTTATTTACGAAATTTCGTAAATTTCGAATCGATTCGTTAATGGCGGACGCGATTGCGCAATACGCCAAAAACCTCCAAATGGGACAGGGGGAACTTCTGAAGCTTCCCTCTCCCTCTGTTGTTGACTGTTGGTGTGATAATTATATTTTTTTCACTGATAAAACAAACAACAACTATAAAACTTGCACCAGACATGCGGAAATAATAACAAAACGATTTCGAAACAATTATGAAACAATTACGAAACAAATTGAAAAATTTGTTTCGATTTTTAGTTGCTCCTGCATGGCTCAATATCGGTTGTTGTTCATTCGTTCAGTCGTCTCCGACTCTTCGTGACCTCATGGACCAGCCCACGCCAGAGCTCCCTGTCGGCCGTTACCACCCCCAGCTCCCTCAAGGTCAGTCCAGTCACTTCAAGGATGCCATCCATCCATCTTGCCCTTGGTCGGCCCCTCTTCCTTTTGCCTTCCACTTTCCCCAGCATAATTGTCTTCTCTAGGCTTTGCTGTCTCCTCATGATGTGGCCAAAGGACTTCCACTTTGTCTCTAGTATCTTTCCCTCCAGTGAGCAGCCGGGCTTTATTTCCTGGAGGATGGACTGGTTGGATCTTCTCGCAGTCCAAGGCACTCTCAGCACTTTCCTCCAACACCACAGCTCAAAAGCATCGATCTTCCTTCGCTCAGCCTTCCCTAAGGTCCAGCTCTCACATCCGTAGGTGACTACAGGGAATACCATGGCTTTGACTAGGCGGATCTTTGTTGCCAGTCTGATGTCTCTACTCTTTACTATTTTATCGAGACTGGACATTGCTCTCCTCCCAAGCAGGAAGCGTCTTCTGATTTCCTGGCTACAGTCTGCATCTGCAGTAATCTTTGCCCCTAGAAATACAAAGTCTGTCACGGCCTCCACGGTTTCTCCTTCTATTTTCCAGTTGTCAATCATTCTTGTTGCCATAATCTTGGTTTTTTTGACGTTTAGCTGCAACCCGGCTTTTGCGCTTTCTTCTTTCACCTTGATTAGAAGGCTCCTCAGCTCCTCCTCGCTTTCGGCCATCAGAGTGGTGTCATCTGCATATCTGAGGTTGTTAATGTTTCTTCCAGCAATTTTCAACCCAGCCTTGGTTCTATATCGGATCGTAAGCTAATTTAAATACGAATCAATAACGAATTACGAAATTAACGAATGAAACCACCCAGCCCTAATAGATAGATATCATTCACACAAGAGATATAGTCTCATAGATTTGAAAGGGACCCTTGAAGGAGGACAATGATATGTTCCATGTTCCAGGGTGGCCAAACCAGACACTCTCCACATCAACACAGATAAAGAAACAGCAAGAAATACTGTTTACCCACAAGCAGAAAGAAATTGCATATATTACAACAAGAGGAAAAGTGTTCCTGCCATACATCAAGGGAACCACTGACCGCATAGGGAAGCTGATGAGGAAACACAACATACAAACTATCTACAAACCCACCAAGAAAATCCAACAAATGCTCCGTTCAGCAAAGGACAAGAGGGATCCTCTCACCTCTGCAGGAGTCTACCATGTACCATGCAGCTGTGGACAAGTCCCCCTAGGACAGGGGTAGGGAACCTTTGGCCCTCCAGCTGTGGTGGACTTCAACTCCCACAATTCCTTGAGGCTCGGCATTCACCCCAAAGGCTTACCTTGGCCCAATGCCGAGCCTCAAGGAATTGTGGGAGTTGAAGTCCACCACAGCTGGAGGGCCAAAGGTTCCCTACCCCTGCTCCAGAGGGACCACCAAACGCAGTGTTGCCCAGACACAAATCCAGGAACATGAAAGGCACTGCAGACTACTTCAACCAGAAAAGTCAGCCAGAGCAGAGCACCTGAGGAACCAACCTGGACACAGCATTTTATTTGAGAACACAAAAATGCTGGACCACTCTCACAACCACCATGTCAGACCACACAGAGAAGCCACTGAAATCCACAAGAAGCATGTGGACAATTTCAACAGAAAGGAAGAAACCATGAAAATGAACAAAATCTGGCTACCAGTATTAAAAAATTCTAAAATTGCAACAGCAAAAACAGCAGGGAGAAAAACAGGCAGGGACATCTAATCACCTTTCAAGAAGAGTTTGCTCCAGGCACAGTCAGCCCATTGTATGCTAATCAAGGTGGTCAGTGGAAAGATCCACACCCAGCCCAACTTACAAAAGCCCTTTGTCTCACCCTGGTCATTCCACAGATATATAAACCCCCTTTTACCCAGTTCCAGCAGACCTCACCTCTGAGGATGCTTGCCATAGATGCAGGCGAAACGTCAGGAGAGAATGCCTCTAGACCATGGCCATATAGCTCGAAAAAACCCACAAGAACTGAGAGATTACAACAACACTTTCTCATTACTTTATTTTCCAGATCAACAGACTGGGCCACAGCAACACGTGGCAGGGAACAGCTAGTGGATAATAAATAGATAGATAATAGAAAGATATAGGTTGAAGATAGGAGGACAGATGACAGCTAGCTAGTAAGATACAAGATAGATATACAATAGAGATAGATAGATGATAGATAGATAGATAGATAGATAGATAGAGACCCACAACAGAGAGAGAACTCCATCAGAGTCAAGAACTAATGCTGGTTCCGGGGTGACATCATACATGCCAGCTGTGTGCTGATTGGTTCGGAAGCCCCAGGTTTGTGACCTCATTAGCAAATGGGAACTGACCGTGGTTGAGACATGAAGGATGAAGTGGCCGCCTTCTCTCTTTTTGATCCTCTCCGTGTTTGGATCCACGCGTGCCCAGGATGACCGGTGCAAGTAAGGCCATCCCGTCCAACTCCCTTCTTCACCAGGGCAGGAAAACGTAATCAAAGCCCTCCTGACAAAGAGCCATCCAGCCATAGATATAGACAGATATATATGATTCACACCCGCAGATATAGTATCCTAGATTTGAAAGGGACCCCTGAAGAAGGAGCTGGACTGGGGGTTGAACTGGATGGCCCATGAGGTCTCTTCCAACTCTAGGATTCTATGATTCTAAGTAAGTGACCCTAGTGGTGGGTGTAACCAAAGAGAAACTGCGTTTGGGGGTGGACAGGTCCATGGACCTTGTCCAGCCTTTTCATATTAAATGGTTGACTATTCTGGTTCTTGGAGCTGCAAAACATTCCCTTTGTGGACTACGACTCCCAAAATCTCTCAGACAGCACATAGATATTCATGGTTTCCAGAACTTTGACAATCATTGGTCATTCTCTGGACACCTTCCAGCTTGTCCATCTGTGGCCAGCATGACTGCATTGAGCACCGTTACCTTCCCACCGGAGCAGTACCTATTGTTCTATTCACATTTGCATGTTTTCGAACTGCTAGGTTGACAGAAGCTGGGGCTGACAGAGGAAGCTCACACTGCTCCCCAGATTCGAACCTATGACTTTTTGGTCAACAAGTTTAGCAGCTCAGTAGTTTAACCCACTGCACCACTGGGGGCTCATATATATATATATATATATATATATATATATATATATATATATATATATACATGCATGGTGGGAGAAAAAACCCTTGTATGTTGAAGCAAGTGTGAATGTTGCAATTGGCAAGCTTGATTAGCATTGAAATAGCCACAAGGCTGCAAAGTCAGTCAGTGATGGTATTTGCATTGGGGTAGCTTGGCTGTTGTGGCCTGGAGGTGAAGTCGAACATCTCTCCACTAAAGACATTCACCCAAATCTTCCCCTTTGTGCCTTATCTGATCGCAAGAGGAAAATCCGGATTAAGTGATCAATGCTTATCGCAGACCCATCTCGAGACAATAGCCATGGTTTTTCTGGCAGGCCGGTTCCGGACTCGTTAAACCTCCAGGACATTAAACTCCATAATTCACTCAAGAATGCATTGTATCCCTTCGTCCCGCCTCCCTCCCTTCCTATTCGCTGGAGCATCGAGACGGCAGGAGCCTCCTGATTGGCTCTGGCACACTGTGGAAGCCCTGTGATTGGCCCTGACGCATGGGGGACGACCAAGCCTCCTCTCAGCTGTTTGCGCGTCAGCCAATCCCCTTCGAGCTGGGCGAGAGGGGGGAGCGGGAATTTTAAAACTCACAACTTTGTATTTTCTATAAAAATGGCCTTTATGTATGTAACCACATGCTCTGCTGGACGAATGATCGCGGCTTTGCGTCCTTTTCAGCTGAATCGCTAATAAACCTCAGTGGCACTTTCTTCAACTTTGGTGAGATTCTTTTTGGGAACTTAGGGAAAATAAATTGCTTAAAATTAGGCTTCCCTTTGCTCACCAATGTAGCGATCCCTCTTTGGTGAGGCTGCAGGGTGTCTCCTCCTGGGGTAGACCCTTCTAAAGTTCCTATCAACTTCAGAGGCACCCTATTTTTGGGAGGTGTTCATTGGCACTTGCTTGCTTGCTGTCTGGAATTCTCCTGTTTCCACATGGTGTGATTGCTGTTTGTAAATTGTTTTAAATTGTTTTTAAATTGTGTCCAATTTTAGCCTTTTCTTGTAAGCCGCTCCGAACCCCAGGGGAGTGGTGGCATATAAGTTCAAATAATAAATAAATAAATAAATAAATAGATAAATAACTGTCTCGATTCTGGTATTCTTTAATACTTGTACCCAGATTTTGTTCATTTCCATGGTTTCTTCCTTTCTGTGGATTTCAGTGGCTCCTCTGTGTCGTCTGACATGGTGGTTGTCAGAGCGTTCCAGCATTTCTGTGTTCTCAGAGAGTAGTCTGTGTCCAGGTTGGTTCATCAAGTGCGCTGCTATGGCTGGCTTCTCTGGCTGAATGAGTCTGCAGTGCTTTTTGTGTGCTTTGATACTGTGTTTTTCACACGTACTGCTCTCGAGCCAGGCATCCCCCATTCTGTATCTTTGCATTTCGTTTTTCGTGACAAATGCAAGATACTCCACTTTGGCAGGAAAAACGAAATGCAAAGATACAGAATGGGGGACAATGCCTGGCTCGAGAGCAGTACGTGTGAAAAAGATCTTGGAGTCCTCGTGCACAACAAGTTAAACATGAGCCAACAATGTGATGTGGCGGCAAAAAAAGCCAATGGGATTTTGGCCTGCATCAATAGGAGCATAGTGTCTAGATCTAAGGAAGTAATGCTACCCCTCTATTCTGTTTTGGTTAGACCACATCTGGAATATTGTGTCCAATTCTGGGCACCACAATTCAAGAGAGATATTGACAAGCTGGAATGTGTCCAGACGAGAGCGACTAAAATGATAAAAGGTCTGGAGAACAAGCCCTATGAGGAGCGGCTTAAGGAGCTGGGCATGTTTAGCCTGAAGAAGAGAAGGCTGAGAGGGGATATGATAGCCATGTATAAATATGTGAGAGGAAGCCACAGGGAGGAGGGAGCAAGCTTGTTTTCTGCTTCCATGGAGACTAGGACGCAATGGAACAATGGCTCCAAACTACAAGAGAGGAGATTCCATCTGAACATGAGGAAGAACTTCCTGACTGTGAGAGCCGTTCAGCAGTGGAACTCTCTGCCCTGGAGTGTGGTGGAGGCTCCTTCTTTGGAAGCTTTTAAACAGAGGCTGGATGGCCATCTGTCCGGGGTGCTTTGGTCAATATTCCTGCTTCTTGGCAGGGGGTTGGACTGGATGGCCCATGAGGTCTCTTCCAACTCTTTGATTCTATGATTCTATGATTCTATGTGTTTGGTGGTCCCTATGGCCACATGTGTTGTTTACACCAAAAGTTCCCAGGTATGTTGTGTCAGTTTGGCAGTTTTCTCACTCCAAAGTTAATCCAATTGCCACCTCCTTTGTTTCTCCATAAAACCATTAGTTTTAATTTTAGGATGGTATCTTCTGCCTTGCCAGGCCCTAATAGGTCCTTAGCCTGACCCCAATCGTACAGTTTGATTCAGTTCACTTGTCACGCCTTTCCTCCCTTTCCTCCAGTGGGATTTGCGGGCGGCGTCCCCTGGCTCCCAGCCACGGCGGTTCGGTGCGGATCATCGGCGGCACGGACACCTTGCCAGGAACGTGGCCCTGGATCGTCAGCATCCAGACGCCGTCTCACCGGGGCTACACCCACATCTGTGGAGGGTCCCTCATCAGCTCACGTTGGGTGATGACCGCGGCCCATTGCTTCTTGGACAAAAGGTAAGCATCTGGGGCCTAGCTATCCATCACCTATCTATCTATCTATCTATCTATCTATCTATCTATCTATCTATCTATCTATCTATCTATCTATCTACCTACCTATCCATCCATCCATCCATCCATCCATCCATCCATCCATCCATCCATCCATCCATCCATCCATCCATCTATCTATCTATCTATCTATCTATCTATCTATCTATCTATCTATCTATATCTATCAGAAGCCATCAGGACTGAAGACCAACAGGTTGGAGTTTCGAATCCGGGGAGAGCGTGGATGAGCTCCCTCTGTCAGCTCCAGCTCCCCATGCAGGGATGTGAGAGAAGCCTCCCACAAGGATGGTAAAACATCAAAACATCCTAGTGTCCCCTGGGCAACGTCCTTGCAGACAGCCGATTCTCTCACAACAGAGGCAGTTTCTCAAGTTGCTCCTGACACGCGGGAACAACAACTATCGAGCTATCGATCTTTGGCTAGAGTTACACTTAAAAATGTACCTGTTACGACTTACAAACAAATTCAACTTAAGAACAAACTTACAGAACCAATCTTGTTCATAACTTGAGGACTGCCCATAGAACTATTTATGCATGCCGTTCTGATTTGCAGAAATGATAACTAGAGAATCGCTAGATGAAAAGGAGAAAGCTAGCTATCTAGATACATAATAGATACTAGAGATAGATATGAGGGTTGAATGAAAAGTTATGCCTCCACCTTCGTAACTTCTCAACAGATGGCAGTACTGGTTTGTGGCAGGTACCGGCTTGTTCAGTAGACTCTCCTTTACCGTTCCATTTTTGTGGGAAGCCTTAGCATTGAACAGCTGTGTTGTTAAAGTGCGAAGCATGGAACTTTGCGCAGATGGTCGGTCAGTGTGACTTATGCAAGGTGCAGTCATTGAATTCTTGATAGCAGAAGGTGTCACCCCAAAGGAGATTCATCAGAGAATGCAAGCTCTTTGTGGTGATTGTGTTGATGTGAGGACTGTGCATCGTTGGGCGAGTAAGTTTAAAGATGTTGAGGTGACACCTTCTGCTGTCAAGAATTCAATGACTGGCTGCACATTGTTTAACTTGCATTGACCAACTTTCTGGGCACGGTTCCATACTTCACACTTTAACAACACAAGTGTTCAATGGTAAGGCTTCCCGCCAAAATGGAACTGTAGAGAGTCTACTGAACAAGCCAGTACCTGCCACATATGTTGCTTAAGTCGCATTGACTGACCGTCTGTGCAGGGTTCCATACTTCACACTTTAACAAAACAACAGTTCAATGCTAAGGCTTCCTGCCAAAATGGAACTGTAGAGGAGAGTCTACTGAACAAGCCAGTACTTGCTGCATACGTTGCTTAAGTTGCATTGACTGACTGTCTGTGCAGGGTTCCATACTTCACACTTTAACGACACAAGTGTTCAATGCTAAGGCTTCCCGCCAAACTGGAATTGTAGAGGAGAGTCTACTGAACAAGCCAGTACCTGCCGCATACCAGTACTGCCATCTATTGAGTAGTTACGAAGGTGGAGGCATTACTTTTCATTCAACCCTCGTAGATAGTGATAAACAGGATCCCTGCCAATGCTTCTT